TTTTTATATTTCAAATATCTACTTGAAACATTTACTATTTCGTCATAATATCATAAGGATTTAACCATATCGATAACAAGAATAAATCTTAAAATAATACGTTATGTTTCCGAAAAGTTCAAAACAAAATGTTATTATAAGCTATAAATCTATTATATCTAAGTGATTTTTCATGACTACAATATAATACTTAGCATACTAAGAAACTGATTACTTATTTGGGTTACAATTTAAGAATAGTGGGTAATATAATTTCGTTAAGAATTACATAGTGTAAGATTTTAATTCGAAAGATATGTTTAGTTGGTTTAATATTCTTGCTTCTTTTGTAGTAAACTAGAAGCAAATTTTGATCACAAAATAAAGTAAAAGTTATGTTACTTCGTCAAGAAATACCCCAAAAGCCTGATATTGTTGATCTAGATTCTAATTAAAGATTTTTAGCAATTCGCAGCAGATTTTTATAGTTGTATTCTGCATATAGTAGAAAGACATAATTTAGAACTGTCACAAATATCTCCTGTTCGTGAGTGATTTTACTTTTCTAGTTACTATATTCTCATTATAAACTGACTACAACATTACTATCGAGAACGAACTACTTGAAAAATCTTAGTTTATATTATATTTTATTAGTAAATATGTAAGAAAATCAGATGCAGGACTGTCAAATACAAATGAAATTAGGAACCGAGCAAGCTATTATAAGCTCACCCTTTTGTACCCTAGGGGCAGGCCGTTATGGCATTACAGCGAATTTAGTTCTACTTATTTTATTAGGACTTGTATTAGTATCTCTTTACAATTGACAACAGGACTCAGTATAGAAAAGTTTGTAAGCAGCATTAATTAAAATAAATCTATTAATTAATGAATTAGAATCGCGAGGCTCTACACTTAATTAATATATTTCAACAGGTGCAATAAACTACCATTAGATTACTTGATACTGAGCCAAGTAATTCTATCCTATGGTAGCTTTATAGACAGTGAATTTTACATCTAACATTTATAACCCGAACTTAATTAGCAATAATGAATTGCAATTAACAAAAATTGGTTAACAATTTTATAAGTAATTAGAACTATTAATTTAGCTTACGGCGACAGGCACGGTAACACTCCTCCACAACAAAAGATTTTTTAACAAAGTCTAGATAACGCATCGGTAGCGCAATTCTGGCTACCAGGCCGATGTTTGATTTTGAAGTTTAGTTTGAGTTTGAATTCAAAGTTGTTAGTATCAATAATTTAGCGTTTATTGTATAATTATTACTCTCGTATGCAGTACTGAAACAGAGATGAGATTTCATAGCCTTAGTTGCAATGTCATGTATTACCATATTTCACTATAGTCTATTCTTAACACAAACTCATTTTCTGTAATACTGTAGCATATTTCCATATATAGACGATATATGTTTTACCATAAATTTTATGGTCTTCTAATAATAATCTAGATTGATTTTAATAAAGAGATATTGCAATTTATTAATGCACTTTAATTAAATTACTCCCTCATAAAAATAAAATTCTTTTCCGCTTAAGTATAATAATTTTACTAGTCGATCCCTTAAATTTAATCGGATATTGGCTCAGACTTTTAGTCAAAGTCGCTTCGCATAAGAATACCCAATTCTAACCTTATATGGAAAACTTTTCTTACATACCGTTCCATTATACTGCATGCGGTGACTTGCTATCAACGGCTAGACCATCAATTGTAAACGAGGCCAAAATTGATGTAACAGATAAAATTGAGTAAGTTTTGAATTAAAATCATCCATATTTTATCTCTGGATACTAGCTATTCCTACATTTTCAGTAATTTTAATAGTAAAAATCCAGTTTAAAAATTTTAATGAATTGATACTAACTTATTTCTGATCTAGAATATTCCTTTGCGTCTTGCCTGTGCTAATAGCTTTACAAATTTTAGTAAATTTATTAGTTGATCAAAACGCTGATCCAACATAGACCAATTATCGTGTTTAAACCTATCTGGATATTTGCATTGAGACCTATCAGTCTAAATTAGGGTCTGTTACTTTAAAAGGATAGTTTTATTTTATGTGCACCAGGAGTTTCTGACGAGACTATAAAAGGCTGGTGCCTGAAGATCCCTTTTTAGTTAGTTAGTCGGTTAGATAGTTAACTAGTTTATCAATTGATATTTAATTGTAAAGATTATAATCTTGGGTGCCAAGATTTCTTCAGTAATAAATGATAGTAAATCTCTGACTATCTCGTCTACACTATCTGTGACGCTATAATTATACCATAGTATTCGATTGTTGGAACTGAATTATTTGGTGATATAACTAATCTCACCTCTTTAAGTTAGTAAGTGACGTTCTCCGCAAGCATTGGTGTGTGTAGACTACTTTGTCGCTATTGGTGTGTGACAGGGTCTAAAATTGTTAAGAGTAAATAGCAAGTTGCCTGTCAAAAGTATAGCTAACAGTTGTTTTACTCATGGCATAGATGCCTATAAATTTGATTATGAGTTGATTAACTCTACCACCAAAAAAGTTTTGAAAAGTCGAGCTTATGATGGTTATTCCTCCATGGAAAGACTGATTGAAAATTACCAACTGTTGCTAAAGTCAGTAAATTCACTAAAGAAAATTTTTGTTTCTTGTAAAATGAAATATCGATTATAACTCATAATCTCATTAAAGTTTTCGTTAAATTCTTGACTATTTAACAGGATGCTTCAGATAAATGTGCTATTCTTTCGAAAAATACTGTGGACGATTCCAAACAGGTCGATAAAAGAATTATGGTAGATTCTACTACAGTTGAAGCTAAAATTTAAGTACGAGAGATTTCTTTGAAAATTTAGGTAACATTTGATTTTCATTGCTTGGAAAGCTTCCCAGAATATAAGCAACTCTAGAAAGTTAAAGATAAATATTTAGCCGTAAAGATAAAGCTTTTGTCTTAAAAGACTTCGCTAATATTCCCTGTCTAAATTATCAATCTTTCTGAAAATCCAATATAGACCTCAAATTTAATAATTGTGCATTCATTGTACACTGAATGATCATATTGCAATTTCAGTATCTTTAGATTTATACCGTAAAAGCAATTTCAAATAGTGATTTAGTACAGTAAGAATAATAATAAGATATACGTGGATTCAATGGATATAATAATTTTACAATTATACTTTATTCCAAAAGCTTCAACAATTATTAATACAAGAATCACATGAAGAGGATTCTTTAAAGCCTTTATATTACTTTACGTGATGCACGTACACCTATAAATTTTAAAACTATAGCTAATAAAACTATAGCCGAATTTTATCTGAGTTTTAGACAATTGGTGGACCGAGTTCGCATTATTTATTTAATGATAGTCGTTATAGCCTGTTATACACCTTCCTGAAGTTATCTTTTAAATAGATTTGATCTAATTATGATGTTAAATGTAAACCATTAATATTTAAATAGATAATATGCAGTAAAATACTTAGTTGCCGAGAATTTATTACTTAAATTATTACAGCCAGTACTATACCGTAACTGGTTATAGTTGCCATACCTTATGCCGTATTAATTAATCTGACCCAAGCACAATAAATTTAATTGACTCTTTACTGAAGAATTGGACATAGATTAGAAATGGTATGTTAATGTCTGGTAATAAATTGTACGATGCTAATTCCATTATTATATCATAACGCCAGTTACGCCCAGAACAAACTATTACTGGTAATATCAAGACTAATGTTTTGAAATGTTCGAAAATTAATTACTAGAGTCCAAATTTTATTTCATTTTCTCCTACAGTACATCAGAAATTTTTACAAGTCTTCATATTGTTGATACTCCTAGTTTAATTAATTCTATTGATATCTGTCCTCTTCAATAATGCAATTTATTTTTGAACTTGAAGTTTTTAGCCATGCTACAATTTACTCTTTTATATGAAACAAAGGCAGTAACAAATTCAGGTAGCATCTGCATACGTAACAGCAGGAAGAGGAAATGAGCAAGAATGATACATTTAAATGAAGTTGATAAACATAGTCTCATTATAATTATAAATGATGTAATGTTATTCTTGAAAGATTTAGAATCTAAATGAATAGCCCTTCATATAGCATAATTCGTAATTTATAATTCTCAAGCAAATAAACTTTGACAATACAAATAGTATGATAGACAAATATATAAAACTATCAACAGATTAAAAATTAATCCATATATGGATTAAAGCTAAAAATTATTGTTTCTACAGAAATTATAAATTATGTTAGCATTGGAAAGTGTATCAAAAATTTCGACATATTAGCTGATGTATAACATACGTATTTCACATAGCTATTACATACCTTGTAGATCACTTTTATAGACGAGAGCATATAGTAATATCTAAAAGTGGAATTAACGATACACAAATTGATATTTTATTCATAAATAAGAGCAACTACTCCGTCAATAGATTACACTTTAATCCACATGCGGATTAGACGAGAAATTAAAATTTCTGCAGATATTATAAAGTAGAGTAGTATTGGAAAGTATATCTGTAATTTCCGACACCTTCACTGATGTATATTTCACATAGTTACTACATACCATATCGATCGACTATAATTTATATTACATAAAAATTTGGCGATCATCGCCATTCTTTTGAAGGTTGCACTTTCGTCGGTCTGGATCACAATAATTATAATTGAATTAATTACTAGACCGTTGAGCGTATCTGGAGTGTAGAAAGTAGAAATTGAATTTCAAAGGAAGCATTTATATACGTCCAGCTATGCTAGTATAAGTATAAAAATTATCGTTCTGCTGATTAAAATCTGATTAAACACAGAACCGCCTTCTTTTAATTTTGACTAATAAATTAGGAAATCGAAAAAAATAATTATACTTTCAAATTCACGAATGATTTTAATTACCTGTTAATCGTTTACAAAATTATAGGAATTTTAAAATTAAACTGACACGATTGCTTACGATCTGTTTGACGGAAATACCAACATGAGGAAAGGATCCAAAATACAGACATTCGATCATAACAATAAAGACGAACCGAGTCGGCATGACATTGTCCGATCTAGTAGCAGTTGGTGGAAATTTCCAAGTTGGGAATCAAAGAAAAATCTGACTCGTTCTTCAACTATCGAAAATGGCATTAATGTTAATTTTATTAACGTGAGAGAACAGCAGAAAAAGTCAAAAGCGACAACTGATTGTGCAGTGGATAGCTCATTAGTAAGCCTTAGTTCTGCTGCGGCGAACACTAAAGCACATGATTTGTATAAGGTAAGAAATAAAAGTTCGTTCACTGGGACTTATTTATCGATTTTTATCTTACCGACGAGAATAGGTGAAGTGCTAATATTAATAAATTATAGATAGTAACGAATTTACTTCGTTGTTACAAGTGATAATCTGCTTTCATGAACGACTAGTTGCAATTGACTTGCGAAGTGTTTAAATTCATAATTATATTTTAATTTTAATCAATCCCAGGTAATAATTATCGACTAAGGAGGCATGTTTAGATACTAAATTTAGATCTCCTTTTTTATTTTTTTCTACTAAGATGTCTTTGAGTTTATGAGAGGTAATAAAGAGCTATAGGTTTCTTTTCTGGGATGTATTAAAATGAATGCAACAAATAATGAATTCGACGTAACTATCTAACAATTTTAACCGAAACACTTTAACTTGTCCTACTCTTATCTCTTTCTATTTATTAAAATGCGCCAATATCTAGTCTGAAATAATCGAAGTGATATTTAAAACTATTTTACAGTATGTGTAATTATTTGTAGAATGAATGATATTAATATATAACACTGGAATTGCCCGATTAAAACGTTTGCCATCAATTCTTATTCCCAAAATTATGAATTTAATCATTAATTTATAATGGTTTAATCAACTATAGTTTAGGCAAGGAAAAGCTAACTTCCTCTTGATGATGATTCTAATCCAGCAATTTTTTGACTGGAAAGATGAATTCGTCCATAAGTAAATAGTAGACTTTCAACTAAATAGTAAGACTGATAATATTATATCGATAGCCACCATACGATTATATTTGCAGTTTATAAATAATACAAAAGTCCTTTTATAAACGAATGCACGTAGATCGGCTGCTTTAGATCAGAGTTGAATTTTTCTCTTAACTGTATTTCATTCTACTTGGCATTTCTACTATGAGTACTATGCCTAATTAAACCATTGAGATAATCAGATACCTTGTGCTTCCTGTTGCCTTTACAAATTTCGAAATAGTTGCTATAATCGTAGTTAATATTGACATACAGTATACAGTATATGATCTTGTAGGAAGATGTGCAAACAAAGAAATACATAATGATTGTATTGGAAATCCAAATTCTTTCCATATCATGCAAGAAACAGCAATCGTTAAGACTTATACGATGTTGTCTGCATTTATACGTTCGTTATTATTAGGAACATTTATAGTAGTATCGATAAATCGGTTTTACATATGGCCTTTGATATTATTCATGGACTAGACTTGATAAAATGATTCAGCATCTATTTTCATACAGTATGAGAAAAATTATTTAAAGAAAGATTTATCCACACTAGTTAAGAAAATTTTTGACTTTAAAATTGATAATAATTAATCAGCAAGGTAATCCAGCGGTATTATTAACAATACGGCAAGATCAGCAAAGTAGGAAAATATTTGTTTACTGTATTCGCATATAGCATACCAGGCTAATTTACCAGATGAGATTTAAAATTTTATGTGTGATGAAATTAAACATGATAACAATAGGCTAGGCAAAATTTGATCGTTATAGTCGGCAAGACCTTGTAAAGAAACATTCTCAAGAATGATATTTCCAACCCTCCTCAGAAACTGTAAGGAAATGTGCTTACACTTTACAGCTTAATTAAAATATTGCGATTACTTTCTACAATTTTTATACACGAGCGCGAAAGATCAGCATTAAACGAAATATTTCCGACCGACATTTCATAAGGAAATGAATTATGAAATATCACAAAAAGAAATGATCTTAATAAACTGTAGTTAAATTTTCCTCATTCCGCTAACCCATCTCGTTTCTCTATTTTATAAAAACAGTTCTTAATAGCTATGGCTTAAAATGTATAACAAAAATATATTTAAACGCTACAGTAAACCGCAATAAACCTTTCGCTAAATAATTATTGCGTCTATATAATTTCATATACAATTTTAAATTTATTAAACGCTACGTAGACTGAAGATCTCATTTTGTTTTTACTGCCATGCCAGGTAGTACTTTCTATTAGTAGACATAATTATATCCCATTATTTTTATAGTTGTGGGAGGTGATAACTGTTAAGAGATAATAAGAGACCTTATTAAATGCTAATGTTATTAATTTTTGCAACAATGAATGCCTAAACTAATTACAATATCTTAGTAGATTTGTAGTATAACATTATAACAGTAGACTTAGCCGAAGTATCGCGATTAGCGTTCTTCCAATTAGTCAATGTTATAAATACTTGATATTTTCAAAATGAAGATGTTCGATTCCTAGTAATTAATTACGACTGGTAAAATACTGTTCTACACGTATATTCTAAGCTTCGATTATCAAACGAAATCAGTTAAAAACCTTGAATCAAACTACCTTCATTATATGATGCTACTTGATCTAGCTGAGATAGGATGCATTTTAAAATTTGATTATATAATATGATTAAAGTTGCTTTGTTACCTATACCAGCGAATTAGTAACTACTCCGCTCTAAATTTACTCCAGAACTATTACAACTATATCGTTTAAATATTATTAATGAACTTAACTAAAATTTGAATTCACTCAATATCGTGATGATCATGTTTTAATACTCAATTTCGACTTGATAGCTATAATTCACGTTTAAAATAATTGAGAAAACCTTTGCTCACTCCAACTCAAACTATTTTATAGTAATTTATCTGTCTTTGCGCTAAACTAAAATACTAGTAATGCCTGAGTTTCAGCTACTTGACCAAATGAGAAATAGTAATTACGTGATAGTCTTTTCTGAACAGAGAAGGGAGATTTGCAGGATAAATAATGTTTGATTTTCTGGATTGTTGGTTTAACAGGCTCCATATCTCTAAAATATAGAAATTATTGTTTAATTCTATTTGTGCTTATAACTAACTAAACAGTGACCTCTCCTTTATTTTGTATTCCACATTTTAACGCAGTTCAATTTTGTCTATTGATTCCAGATTCGTAATTGTAGCTAATAATTCTCCGAATTAAGCATCTCTTTATCTTTTTTATTTGCATAGCAGCTTTTCTCCTATCCGTAAATTTACCTCAAAGCGTGTCATCAAGAATAATTATATTGCTTCAGTCATCTAACATTCATAACTTTTCAGTAATTACATTTATTTTAAAACATCACTAGGAAAGATCTGTTCGTCTAGATAATAGGGATATATAAGTTAGCAAACCAAACCAGTATAGTTTACTATTCAATGTTTTAGTTATTGTAATTAGCTTATTTAGATTGCAATAGATTCGTGTTCCAAATTTTAATTTGTAATAAGAAATACGCTAAAACTATTACAAAAAACTACGCTATGAGACTACTGTCAGGTTTGTCCTCCATAATATTAACCTACAGTCGGATTCTAAATATTAACGATATCCCGTCGTCACATTAGATAGCTAAACTTAAAGACATTATGCTTAAGAGTAATTAATAATAATCTGAGTCACTGATATAGAAGAAGAGAATTTATGTTGTCATGTAATTAACTGATTGCTAACTTAACGTGCAATCTTCATAATGAAAGCACATATCTTTGGCATACGCTATTATTTGGAATCCAAATCAATTGGATATGATCAATTCCCATTTTTTAAGTTCTCATCATCAATGATATCTTTGTCGATTATAAATTAATTTCCACTGTAGAAGAGAGTTAAGAAAATTTTCCAAAGAAATTAAGTAGAATTAAAGCCATGTTGCCACGCTACATCTAATCCACATTAACAACTGATTTGATATAAGATTATTACTATCATAGATTACAGAAGTTATACATTTGCCCTGCTAATGCAAACTACTATATTGCAATGACCAGGCTATCAAAACTGGCTCGTTGGAAGAAATGCAAAATCTACTTACTCTCCACTATAATAATCGCAATAATCGCAATGAAATTAACTCAGCCGATAAAGAGAATTCATTTACTTTTATGCATTACGCTGCAAGATATAATCGATCCGATGCTATACGTTGCTTGATCGACGTTGGTGCAGGTAATTTTTCAGATTTTTAATCAATTTAATATCATTTCGTAAATATTTTTTTATTGTTTAGATGTTAACAGAAAGGGCGGCAAAGATTTCATTACTCCTCTCCATGTTGCTGCTCAGTTTAACTGTCCAAATGCAGCTCAAACTTTAATTCAGTTCGGTGCAACAATTTCTCAAAATTCTAAAACGAAAGAAAATCCTTTGCATTATTGCTGTAAATACGGAAATGAAAAAGTGGCTGAGGTATTTAAATGTTATAATTATAACAGCTTCCCTTAATTGTAGTTTCTAGCACATATCTATATAAGGCTTTTTGCTTTGCATGTTTTCACGCTGCTTTTAATATTTGCTTTTGAAGAAATTTCTCGTTTCTTATCCTATTTTTAAACTTCCTAAAATCAATTTGCTTGAAATTTGAATCTAAACTAGGTCATTCTAAGAGAAGCTGAAAGGCTTAATATGACTGGAAAGATTGTTAATCAGCCTGATAGCGAATCTCACTGTCCTATTCATCTTGCAGCTTTGTATAATAATAAGAAAATGATTGCTATTTTGGTAAGCCTATAATATGATCAAGCAAATAATTTGTAGCTAAAGACAGATAAAGATAGTATCACATGAAAGTTAGTAGTCTTCTATAACCAATGCCTCTTTTTATTTGACATTCTATTCGTTATACAGCTAACGTATGCGGCAAGTATAGTTAGAAAGGATGTTAACGGTCAATTACCTTCTCATTTCGCGGCTGAACATAAGGACACAGCTATTTTGGAGCACATACTCCAATACGGTAAGTTAAATTTATTCATACCTATTAGAAGAAATTATACTATCAGTTTAATGTTATTGATAGTATTAAATGCAAAGAATTTTCCAAACTATTCATTTATAGCCAAAATGAAAGGTCACAACGACTATGTGATAATATCTAATAATGAGGGAGGTACAGCTCTTCATATTGCCGCCGATGTTGGTTCTGTTGTAGTAAGTATATATGGTAATACCTTTGCCTGTTGTAATTTAATGCAATGTAGATGTACAGTTTAATCTAAATAAAGCATTGCATTTTTAAAACGTCATGCATTTGATCGATTAGGCAGCAGAAGTTTGCTTCAAGTACGGTGCAGAGATCGAAGCTCAAAATGTAAATTGAATTATAATTTTACGTAATTATTTATTTTAATTATGTAACTAGTTAAAAATTTGAACAATTATCTTAAATCAGATCTATTGGTAAAAGATAGTATTATACTGTATATTTGATTGGAGTATGGAATTTACTCATAAGATAAAAATTTCGACTACAATGATAACACATCAGATTTTTACTTGCTCGTTTATTCTACCAGCATGAACTATTAACACCTTTGCACATTGCGGCTGTAAATGGCAACTGCGAATTTGCCGAGTATCTCATCAGCAAAGGCGCCAAAGTTAACTCAAAAGACAATGACGGAAGAACTTCCTTACATTACGCAGCTTTGAGCAATAATATTTCTTTAACCGAACTTTTAATCCACCAGGTACAGTCGTTAATGAAATTTCTTCAGTTAGTGTTAAATCGTTATACGATCGCCATTAATTCTAGTCCATTTTGACTCAATATTTAGGGAGCAGATATCGAAGCTCGCGATAACAGAGGCCAAACGCCATTACTTTTAGCAGTTATCAATGGATATACACCTGTCATTAAGAAATTACTCGAATTAGGCGCCGATATTGCAACTACAGACTCTAATGGTCGACACTGTATGCATTATTTAGCTGAGAAAAGTGATGTTAGCAACATATTAGCGGTCTTGAAAGTAAGCTAATGGCTGTATTGAATCCACTTGACTATAGAATTTAGTTGCAAATATTCTTTACGTTTATAATACTTCAAAACCATTATGGTTATAAATAGAATGGAGGGAAAGAATTGGTAAATCAGCCTGACAACGAAGGTATCATTCCATCGCACATCGCAGCTATGAAAGGAACTATTACAGTAAGTTTTATGATAATCGAACTCGATATCCATTCCTATGTAATATATATGATCTAACCATTAAGATATTAGTCATCATCGTAGCCACAATCCATACATTAGACATCATTTTTGTACGCTTGAATTCGTCTTCTTATATTAAACTAATACCTTGCAGACATTGTATCAGTTATATGAAAATGGTACTTCTTTGGACACTGTAGACGAAGAAGGAAATACGCTTTTGCACATAGCAGCCAAAGGCAATCATCGCGATACTGTTAAACTAATTTTACAAGCCACCAAAGCAAAAGATATTAATATTAGAAATGCATTTGGTCAAAAGCCTATCCATATTGCCGCTAAATATGGCCATAACCGTGTTGTTCATAATATGATTAGGAATGGTGCTGACATTAATAGCAAGTAAAAGTTTGTCAATTGAAATTATAGATTACCAGATTGATCTTAGCTAATGATTTTGACCGATAACACTTTTAGTAGATTTCAGATAACGAAGATTTTTGATAAATTGTTAGAGACATCTATTCCTATTATCCTTTGCACTATGCTGCTAAAGGTGGATTTACAGCAGCGGTCCAATTGTTGATCGATAAAAATGCTAAAGTTTGCGTGTTAGATCGCTTTAATGTAAGTACTCTTAGCACATTCCCAACATATTAGAATAGTTTCAATAGACTGTTAAGGAGCAAAGCACCGTACTCGCTAATTAAATAGATTTTGTTAGTATTTAGCTAATGGATCATATCGGTAAGTAATAATTGAAATTAAGAATATTAATAATGTCTAGATTGCCAGACAACAAAAGGCATAATTGTATTTTGCAATTAATTAGTAGAGCCTATATAGATATTAATAATGGCGACACGTTAGCACCCGCTACGAACGCGTGATTATCGTGCAGAGCCTCAAGGGTCTAACTTGATATTTATTAGTTATTGCTAATTAAAGTTGTTTACGTGCTTGTATCTATAGTAAACTATATAGTTTATTAAGGCTTGTCCTCTTATACAAATAATGTAAATCTTATATTGTCAAGTTACTATGTGTGCACCATAAATTTAGTGGAATGGTATAAAAGGACGAGCGAATGCTCAGTTCCTGAGTTCTTTATCAGTTCGTGTACGAGAAGGCACTCGGCTTCTCTACTAATAAAAGCTATACTAATCTTTTAGAACAGTCTTATCCCTGTGACCGAAAGTAGTAAAGAACTACCATACAGTAGATCTCCAGGTGTAGTGGAGCAAAGCATAAGTAATCTATTAGTTTAGTGTAGTAGTTCGCAACATAAGTTTGTGACATAGACATTTAATTTAAATCTTTCTATGTTTTAGTTATGTATAGAATAAGATCATTCTTTCATATTAATTTTCTGCTACGTTATAAGAGATATCTTACTGTCACGAAGTGATTTTTAATAACTAATAGTGATCTTATTTTCATCAGATAACGTACTTGGTATTTGTTGAAAAAAACTTTATCAATGTCTTTATTCCTACTTATATAGATAGATAACTGCATAGTCTTACAATATTGTGTACGTAACGAAAATAATGTTTATGCAAAGTGATTATAAAACTGACTACTTTTTCAATAAGGTTTAGGTTTAGTTTGTCTAAGAAGTGACTTCTAGTGTTTCCGTTGCTCCTGATTAAAAGAGATCGTCAATATTAGAGTCGTACTGTGGGAAGATGTCTGAGAGGACAAATCTGACAGCAGACTCAGTCTTTAGTTTCTGTATAATAGCTATACTTATTTCCTTGTTACTAATTTCGATATATAGCAAATACATTTTATTGTAGAAATACAATATGAGCATATGCATATGACAACGCAAATGAAGATATTTACATTAGCCGAATTGCTAAACTTGCGTGTATGAGAATCTAGAGAATTTCTTTTACAACTATGAAAATGATCTAAAATTGAACTTGTCTTTACAGCATATTTTCTGACCCTTTTAAATTTATATATGCCGTTTAAAATAACTGAAACTCCAAATATAATTATTTTTTAATCTGAAAGAATACTCCCCTGCACTTAGCATCAGCTAATGGGCATCAAGAAGTAGTCAAAATATTGTTAGCAAATGGCGCCAAGCCAACAGCGATCAATAGTCAGGGTCTAAATTGTTTAGATTTAGCAATCGAAAATGATCGAACCGAAATTGGATTACAAATTATCCGCAGTAAATTGTAAGTTTCTAAATTTGCGGTTATTCTTTCACCAACAATTTTCCTTCTTGGCCCCATCGTTTTCTGAATTTACTATAGCTGGTGTAGTCAGAATATAGTTATCGAAATATTTATCCCAAAATCTTAATTAATTGCACTTGTAGTTGGGAAAAAGCTCTAGAAAATAGAGAATTTGATGGACACACGCCAATGAAGAGACTTATTGAGAAACTCCCTATTGTTGCCAGTGTAAGTATAAATTGCGACAGGTTCATTTAATACTGTACATACACATGTGAAGTAATAGAAGCAGAACAATTTCTGGTGAAGTACATCGATTCCATACGAAATAATATCGGCAAAAGCATAACAGATATTTATTAAATTTTATTAGCAGTACTATTGTATTATAAATTCTCTCTATGCACTTGTACTTTAAACATAACGATGAGATATGTACTGATTACATCACAATCTAGAATCTAAAGATATTTTGTGATAGTACTGATATTTATAGTTCCTAAATATAACTTACATTCTAAGTCATAGTACTGTCTAGTCTATTGCATTATAGATTCTGTTGTATATACTTGCACTTCAATAAATAGAAAATAATAGATAGCTTAAACGTTTAGATATGTTCGAATCCATCATAATACAAAATCCGTGGATATTTAGTGATAAAAGATTGTAGTTCTTAACAAAATAGTGTTCTAAATCGCAATACTGTCTAACCTATTGCAGGCTGTAATGGACCGATGCATAACGTATACGGGTGACATTGGAGATTATAACGAAGCACAGGTTGGTTAATTTCGTTTAAAGAGCGGCAATCTTAAATATTATATTAATACAAAATCCTAGATAACTAAATTTAGAAAGCTATGGATAAATTTTTATAGAGTAATACTCTCACAATGTGCAGTAAAGTGTATTCTAAAAGTTATATTCGCCATAGACCTGAATTTAATCACCAGAGATTTGATAAATGATCTCACTCATTTTATCCAATCTGTCTTCAGATTGTTTTCAACTTTAGTTATTTAGAAACCCCACCATGCCAAATTAGATATAAAGATCCTGGGAATGATTTTTTGGCAGCTTCGGTATGAATATTTAATAAGCAGTTATGGGATACTTAATTACTAGAGCAACGTGTAATTTGTACGTTTAATTGCTATATGGATAGTCTAATTTTATAAATACTGTATTCTTAATATCCTTCTTTGCAGAGCATTCTCTCCTATAATAGAATAAAATTAATGAAACACCCGCTCATTTGGGCTTATCGATATCATAAATGGTATTAGCGATGGGGTTAAATCTATCGATATGGCCCTTTCTAGAATTATCTTCAGGATCTCATCAGCATAAGTTTTCTTTTATTATATTTCTGACTATCTGATAATCCATTAATTTAGGAGATCAATACTGCGATATTTCTATTACGGAGGATGTTTTATCAATCTTGTATTGCTGTTGACTATTTGCATACCTGTTGGCTTAAATATAAGTGATTATTACGAGGCTCTACGTAATCAAACTGGAAATAGCGCTGCCCGAACGGTAGCAGTAACACAAGTATAATATTCGATAGTTAACTAATTTTCGTCAATATTTTTTTTTAGCTCTAATCGTAATAGATGTCGCTAATAAGATCATGTTAATAATTACAAATCCTTATATTTACAATTTGGTTTATATCCGTACATATTGGATAAAAATGTTATTCGACGATAACCAGTATTCGGAAGCAGTTTATACAAGAAACATTATCACCTTTTCTGCTGTGATATTTAATACCTTCATCAATTTAATCAAATTACTCCTCAAGGTTAGTGTATAAATATATATTTGATATACCTATCATATGCGATAGCATTTCATTACAATTTGACCTTAATAGATATTTGAATTACTTCAAATATTGCTATGCGTAATATAATTTACTATGATAATAATACAAATGACAATTCTAATCTCATATTCTTTATTTTAGCCGAGAAAAGTTATTGCGCAAATTACAACTTTTATATTAGAAAATGGAATCGAATTAATAGCCCTATTCTATTGCATTCCATTTCAACGACCAACAACAAATTTTAAAGTGCAGTTAGGAGCACTGATCGTGTTCCTTTCTATTATAAACTTTCTGGCACGGTTGAAAAGGTAAGATATAGTAGAGAATTCTACTTAAGTTAGGACATTTTTAATCTTCATCATCGATTAATTTATAAGTTTATAAAGAATTGGGGAATTTAAAGACTTGCGATTACAAAAATTTCAAATTTAAAGTCATTACTAAACATGAAAAGTTATGATTTCTTATTATATTACCTTCTATTAATTGATTTACTGTGATATGAATGTACCTTTGTCACAATTCTCTCTTGTGACAAAGGAAACGTAAATTAGCGAAGTAAAGAATCTCTTGTGTAACTATAATAACTTGGGTTACTTCTCCCAGTAACTCCACTTTCTATGTTAGTGATATGCGAGAACTCAATTTCTTGGTTGAACTCTACAGACAAGTGAAGATATTACACTATTCTTCACGATACGAGTCGTGTACCATTCTTGAGCAAATACTGATTCATTCTACAAACACACGCGCTTAAATAGATCTCTACCATGAATTCCAGTGTTAACCAGTGAGAATTAAGTTAGCGTTATCACTATAATACATTACTAAATATGTACATAGATTTTCTCATCCTTAGATACCTACAAGCTATCATATACGACTTATAGCCTTATTTGACCATTCATTAATTAACAGCTACTTATTTGGTAACCGTGCACCGTGACACACACATGACATGTAGTCTTATTTAACTATTCATTTACAGTTACTTATTTCCTGACAACCTTCCCAATTTGCTAACGCATACGCTAGGTCCCAGTTGTTCAGGTTATATAAACTGATGATGAGAGAACTTTTAAGGATGACACCCACAGGAACAACATCTTTGCGAAACACTGTTACCAACGCACAATATTGGAATTGCATTTTATTCTTGAATTATGAAATATATTATTGCCCATTTTCCATAGCAATTTACTCTGATTTTTATTAGAAATTTAATTGAAACGCTATTTTATGAGAGAGACAATCTTCGTAAAATTGAGTAGCTTAATAATTTCACTTAATTTAGAACTATTAAGACCTGAGCTTTTACGGAAAAATTAAATTCGTATGATATTCAGTAGAATTTTTATCCATGTTTAAGTATAG